GCTATTGCACTTTGCAATAGCCAATAGCAAACTAGCTAATGCACCCGCCCACTGCTGCTGTCAATCAGCAGAGGGGGATCTGAATTTTTCTATCAGGTCCTCTTCTGGTGATTGAAAGCAGCAGAGGGCGGGTGCAATAGCTAGTTTGCTATTGGCTATTGCAAAGTGAAATAGCCAATAGGAATCTAGCTATGCATTCTTATGCCTTTTTTAATTTTTTTTTTTCTGATGACTGCAACTGTCAGAATACAAAAAAAAAAGCCTGCAGATAGCAAAGAAGCTATTGCTTCCTGTGCTATCTGCCATCATTTCAGGGGGGCACCTCCATGAAATGAGAGGGACACCTCCCTGAAATTGCTTCTTTCAGGTAGGGATTCCTGTGAATGTAAAGAACCACTCCACTTAGGGTGGAAGGGGCTACACTTCTTTTCACTTGCGGGATACCACAGGCAACACCAAACATCTGGCGCTGCAGGGATGAGAGGTGCAGCTGCGACAATGAGGGGTTTGACTCGCATATTCATCTGCACGTCTCCCCTTCACATTCACAACAAGCTTCCCTCTCTGAGAATGGACAAGCACCCTGTGCTGCATTGTGCTTTGGCCTCTATTGTACTTTTACAATAAATAGCACCGCAAAGCACGCATTGTGGGTACATTGTGGTAATGCACTTTAATACTTTCATTTTAGTGCGTGTTGCCACAAAGCACAAATGTGAAAGGTCCCACTTGTTATCACATTTAAGTAAACATTAGGCTTACCCTGCCATTGCATACAATGTTGAATTGTTTTGTACATTGATATTGATATTGTAGCGCTCACCCCCGAAGGAGCCGCTGAATATTGAAATAGGTTCTCCTACCTGTTGGTTCCAGCTGCCAGTCCCCTTTGATCAGCAACAGCACACCGACACTCACGTACAGAATGGCTCGAGTCGTAGGGTCTTTTTAGGGTATTTATTTGCAACATCAATAGGAGAGAGAGGGTTTAGGGTCGGTAGGATGCCATAGGAAATACTTCTGAGGACAGCTTTCTCCCCTAGCAACCGCTAAGGCCGAAATCACTTCGATCTGGTCCCAGGGACCAATAGTAGTAGTAGTAGTAGTAGTACTGTGAACAGATACCTGGAATAGGGTGAGGGCTCTCCCTTGTGGGTCCCAGACGGACGCTCGCACCAGCTCCTCTGCGGTACCCCTCAACAAGCGGACTCCTCCTCTGACCCAGCTTCCATCAGGTATTTTCCTCTTTAGGATCTGGAACTTCTGTGCCCTCAGCATCTGCAACTGCCAAGGAGCACTCCAGTTAAATGAGAGTATCTTCTTAGAACAAGGCACCCAACACCTGCCACGTGTATGGGCCCAGTGAAGTATCAGTGTATCCTTAGGCCTCCAGGCCCCTCAGCACCTGCCATGTGCTGAGGCCCAGGCTACTTGCTCTGCATCACACACAGTCCTCCTAGGGCGAGGCCCCTAGGGGAAGGAGAGCTCTCCACAATGTCCCCAGACCTTTTATTACCTGCCCTCAACCATGCCTCTGAGTCATCCTACTCAGGGATTGGCTAGGGCCAGGTGCATAGTCATAACCTGAGGGTGGATCCTCCCTCACTGTAGGCCAAGGCTCCCTTTTTCCTCAGCAACAGGAGGAGCAATCAATCCAGCAGACTCAGGGACACCTATAGAATGCAGAGCTCTGTATAATCAGTATCTAGACTGGTTACAGTCCAGGTATCTCTAAATTGAATAGCGACATTTTAGAGGGCGCTACACTATCAACATTTAAGCACGTGGAGAGGAAAACAATTCCACTATTTAGTTATATTAAAAAAGATCACCGCATTCTTGGAAGACTGCCATTGCAGTGAGTCAGGTTATTATGTACACACATCTGCAAGTATTTACAAGTCCTATTTAAAGGTTGTTCTTTTATGTCCTGGATTCTAGATTTCAGAACTGAAAGCGGCATTTTATGGATTTGTTTGGGTTATCTCACCCAATTACTTTGAAGTGAGCTATTTTGAACAATCACTTTATTAAATGACTGGAAGGACCATATAATTTTTAGGATCCTTTACTGCTGGTAATGTGGAATCCAGAAGTAATTCAGCCAGAAATATCTTATAGTTCAAGTCATAAATGCCTTGATACTTATAAATGCCTTGATACTTATTGCGTTTAGGTTCCCACACAGATATGTATCTCACAATCTATGCTGTAGAGGAGGAAGAATCTAGTATCTGGGATTTGGAAGTATTAATTTTATAGTATTTAACCTTATCAAATGCATACAAAAGTGTTTGAATCGGTGCTTTACTATTGACAGCTAGCTATTTTGTCTTCTTTTTTTGTGCCCTTATTATTGGGGATGTAAATCTAGTGCCAAGCTGCCTTCCTGTGCATGTACATCCCATAGACTTAAAGAGGACGTACCTGTACTGCAGGAGTAACATTGCATTAAAATGTATGAGACGGTAACTATCGTTACTTCCCTGTGATAAATGTTGCTAATAGCATCTGTCTGCATCACAATCCTCCTCCCCATCTTAGCTGGTATAAATGAAAATATCCAAACAAGCTAAATATATGTCATTATATAAATTATGCCTGATTCTAATGCTAGATGACAGTCGGATTGTGAATGTATCTCTCTTCTACTGATCACTCTCTGACCTTATAATCCTACATATTGTGGACGTCCAGTTAGTCCTTGTACAACCATTTTGTATAACAGTAGTGTGTACAGAAAGATTTTACAAGCACCATTATCATGTGATGGAGTTTCCAAGTTGAGGTGAACCCTAATTAAATCTTGTTGAAAAATGTAGTGATATATTGTTCCTCATTCTTTAGTGGTTTCACTCATTCCTATTGAATTGGTCATTTAATTATTAGCTCAGCAATCAAAACAACTCATAAAACATTTTCACCTACAGATGATGTATCTACCGATGACATTAATGTTTATCTTGCTATGCTTGGATCCTCTGCATGGAGCCTGGGAACTGCGGGGAAGGAAAAACAGTAAGTGTATTTTATGTTTTTGCCATCCTACGGGCCTAATGTATACAATCTAAAGTAAGGCTAAAGTGGGGTGTTGCCCACCTTAACCAATCAGGTGTTTGCACGAAGATTAGTGGCTAGATCCACTCCAGCTCAGGTCTGACTCAGAGCCAGTTTGAATGATTCTGGAAGCTCACAGCATAGCTGGCATTTTATTCATACAGTCCGGAGGGCACTGCTGCGAAGGCAGTGTATCCAAGTTTGTCATAAGCAATACTGTCTGACAGACCAGGTGGAGAATAGGGATTTCAGAGCTCAGTCTTCTGATGTAGGATTTTTCAAGAGGCAGCTCTTGGGCATACAATGCCCACTGCTATTGGAACAAAATGTTCAGACAAATTAGAAAAAGAGCACTGGACAAGTTTTTAAATCCAGATATAATTTATTGTTCAGTGTTTCCTAAAAAATTGAATGCAGTTCGAAAATCCTACATCAGGGTTTAGAACTTGTAGGCAGATCTGGACAACAGGAGGTCAGTATGATTAATGGAAAAGCATAGAACCTGTTCCGGTCACTGGTGTAGCAAGGACCAGGTGTCACAATGTATCCAACTACAAAATGTTTATGTAATTGGATTGCAGACAAATGTTTTACCATTGCAAAAGCATAAGCATTAATATAGAACCCCTCTAACCACATCCTTGCACCTATAGCAGTCTCCATTCTTCGAGTAAGGCTTTGAAGAAGATTTTGTATGTGTCTGTGAAAATGTATGCCCATCCAACCAAGATCATTTGTGAGGTCAGGTACTGATGCTTCAGGAAGAGACCTGGGTCGCAATCAGCATTCCAGTTCATCCTAAACATGTTCAATAGGATTGAGGTTAGGGCTATATGCAGACCACTCTAGTTCCTCCACAGCAAATGTTTGAAACCATGTCCTAATGGAGCTGGCTTTGTGCATAGTGACACAGTCATGCTGGAACAGGAAAGGGCTTTCCCCAAACTTTTGCCACACGGTTGGAAGTACACAATTGTCTAAAATGTCTTTGTATGTTGTATAATTAAGGGTATCCTTTACTGGAAACACCTAAACTCAATAATTTGGAGGATTATCCACATACATTTGGCCAAATAGTGTAATTGACAGGTGTACCTTAAAGCGGACCTTTACCCCCTTTCACTAAAAAATCACCTCAACTTGCAGCTCTGCCGGCAATTATCTATTATTAGTATATGTCTGTAGATTGTCAATAGTGAAATTTTGAAGGTGTATTTGCTGTCATTTCAAAGGTAAGGCTAAAGTTTCTCTTTAAAGGTCAAGTTTAGATTAAAGCTTAGCTGAGAAGAACCTTATAATAAAGTCTGTTTTGTCATTGCTTAATTTGTATTACATTATCTTTCCAAGTAGTTTAATGTTATGGTAAAATATGGAAAACAAAAGTGAACACATCCTGTTTTATTACCCTGACATTCTTTCCTTTTGCTTATTAGTCTCCATTATTTTCCATTGTTCTCCATTCAGCAATGATAGTAGATATAAACGAAACAGTATATCTAATGTGTCCCACTCAGGACAACCAAACTGTTTATTGGAAAAGGAAAACTCGAAGGCTCACCAACAAGACAATTCTAAATATAACAGTGGGGGAAGAAGCTGACGTGGGGAATTTTACTTGCCACTCAGATAATGGGCTCATTCTGGATTATAAAGTCATTCTACTGCATCGGCCAAACTTAGAACAGCACAAGAGGATAATGTCATGTAAGTCTATTGCAGAAAAACTACTTTAATCCTGCTTTGTAAGTCATGTCTTTTATTTTTAGATTCACTTTACTGATATAGCTTTTATTGATTTTAGTACCTGTGTCTTTGTTAAGTTCTGAATAACGGTAACCATGGCATATTTTTTGTTTTCTGCTGTTTTAAATAGCGTCAGAAGTATTAAAATGTTCACTGAAAAACTACAGCGGCAACTTCAGTTGTTCCTGGAATTCAACAATTGACAGCAACATTGAATTTATCTTTGAAGCCTATAGAAAGTAAGTCACCAAAGAAAGTCTAATACTGAAATGTTGTTGATCATTTATGAATATTGGTGTAGGATCTGTCATCTGGAATGCCAGTATCACAACTAAATATTTTTTTTAAACAAAGCTGCTTTTTTTATGATATGTATTGTTACAGAGCATGGTTTTTTATAACCAGTTTTGTATTATGTTTGTGAAGTATTGTTGAAGCCATTGCAGTGTTTTGGAGCAGTTTTTGCTATCTGTAGTTTGTTACCTGGCCAAGCGATAGGTGTGTGTGGCCTATGTAGTTGAAAAAGATTTTGGTCCATGTCACAGAGGGTCTTCCTGTGGAATGTACTGTAAATGACAGGAGGGGAGGAAGTGTGGTGTGATGGGAGGTGATGTAAAAAATGACATGCTGTGTGTAGATTTTTGGATTCAATCCTGGGGTTTACTAAGATGAAGAAGGCATTTTGTTATCATTAGCTGAAGGTTTGTGAATAAATATGGATTTTGAGACCTGGAATCTCCTTTTTCGTGATCTCTTGACATTGGTGGCAGGAGTGGGATTCAGCGAGAGATCCAGGCCAGGCCAGGAACAACTGCTACAATAAACTTATGGAAAATGTGTACAACGGGTCACTTGGTATCAGGAGGAAATGGCCATACTGAGAGAACAGGCCACCCTGGACGATAAACAGGAAGTCAATAGAAGGGCAGACCAGTGAGAATGCACTTATTTTGCACTGTTGATGACTCAAGCAGAAAAGGAGCAGGTTTGCTACCAGTGTCCAAAAGCCCCCAGAAACATTCTAACTCTAATGAGATGACTGATGATATTGTGGCCTTTTTATGGGATTTGGAGAACCAGTGCCACTCAGTGGAAGTCCTGGAAAAGCAATGGATCTGCCTATTAGCTGGAATGCTTTAAGGGATAACTGCTGAACTTTTTTGGACTGTAAATCTTAAAAGAGAACAATGGCCCAACCTTTTTTGGCCATAGTTCTCTTTAGGGTCACAGGAGAACATTTACTATGCTATTGCCCACTGAATGCTGACAGCACAGAGCCATGTTGTGGCCAGGAAAGATACCAACAATATTGTTGGGATCCACCCCGCCACCTGATTGATAGCTGGATCTGCCCTCTAGAGCCAGAGACAGCAGTGCCTGCCCACTCCCCTGTCCATCCCTCCAGCCAGTGCTGGAGCAATGGACAGGAGAGGGAAGGAATCCCTGCAGGGAGCAGTGACTGACAGTCACCACTCTCTGCAGGAAGAAGATTGGGTAACTGTGATCACTCAGTTCTCGATCAATAAAGCCGACATATGGGGATATGTGTATTTCGCTCTCACCATAATTCTCCTTTAACACTAACCTGCACTGTATACTTAAGACTGTCCTTCACTGTAACCATACCACTAATCCAGGGCCATAGGAAGGGTGAGGCGAGTGAGGCACTCGCTTCAGGCATAGCTGCAAGGGAGCGCAGCCAGAGCCGGACTTGGACTTGCTGGACCTGGTGCCCAGTTGGGGTAAGAGGTAGGCGGGTGCTTTGGGATTTGGATGCAGTGCTGATCGCATCACATTACCATCTCACTCACATGCAGCTCTGCCGCTTATTGGCTGATTCCCAGGTGTGGGGGGAGTTTAGAGCGGCTACAGTGCTGATCGCCTCAGTTTACCATAGCGGTGACCAGCAGACACACACGCAATACCGCTGTGTATTGGCTTGTTTCCTAGGAGGGGAGGAGTTGAGGACGGCTGCAGTGCTGATTGACATCTGGCTTTGCCTCTCTAGAGCCAGAGACAGCTGTGCCCGCCCCCTCCCTCATCCATCCATCCAGTCAGTGCTGGGGGAATGGACAGGAGAGGGAAGAAATCCCTGTGAGGAGCAGTGACTGACAGTCACCACTCTCTGCAGGAAGAAGATTGAGAACTGAGCGATCAGTGGTATGTGATCACTCAGTTTCGATCAATAGAGCTGGCATATGACAGCTTCAGTGTCACATGGCTGCTCTTATTATGGGATGAGAGTATTTCACTCTCCCCATAATTACTATTATACTATTTGATCATGCCAATATTGTGTCCAGTTTAGAGACATGCAATACAATGAGAGTGGGTCACTTAAAATGTATGCCCACAGGATGACTCTGATCTTTACTATTGATGATATATTTAAGACTTTCCTAAAACAACAATCTTATAGTAAATGCCCTGCAGATAAAAGTGAGTGGATTAAAGAAATGAAGCCAGCCAAAGCAGAAGCTGCAGCTTGTTTGGCAGACAAACTTTTGTCTATTAAGCCTTATTTAAAAAAACTAATGGACAATTCCCCTCACCAAACAAATATCCACTGAACCTCTCCCTCTACCGTCACACATGGAAATGTTGTTCAGTCTCAGGATGCACAGATGCACCTCAAAGACTACGCATAACAAGCAATGCTATATTTGTGGCCAAATTGCACATACACAATTATATTGCCACTCTGGAAGTCATGAGAAGGTTCGGAATATGAAACAAAGTGTTATCCAGCAGTTAAATGCCTCACTCACATAAGGCAGACTTTCACACACACTGCCGAAGCATCCTGTAAAGCTCAGCTCAGCATGCATTCCTTCTGAGCTTAAAGGAGTTTATCAAGTCATCAGTCAACCAATGCCAAGTCAACAGTGGTATTTGAGCGGCCAGTAAACAGAAGACGAAGCGCTTCCTACCTCACCAACTGGACATTATCCTGGATCCAATCAAATACAAAGCCACCTGGAGAATATGGTGTTCAACCTCTTGTACATGGCCAAACCAAGAAAACCTCACCTGCAATATGAAAGGATTTCAAAGAGAATAGTAGTAGGTTTTATGGACAGTGGATCCTTTCTGACAGTTGTGGACTTGAATTGAACTTGTCATTGGGACGCAAAAGTTGTATACCTATTGCAAAAGTAGATTTGCACTTTAGACATGAGGAGAACTTGTGCTGAGTGGAGGTGATAGAAGGTTTACCAGCAATTGTTCTTCTGGGAAATAACGTAGGTAACTTACATTGTAAACTTTGTGAGTTATTTATTGGTTGATTTCATCTCTGGTTTGTTACTTGACTGGGAAATGAGTGTGTGGCCTAAACATTTGAAAAAGATTTCTGTCCTCCTCACAGCTGTCTTCCCCTGCGAATGTAAATGACTGGAGGGGGCAGTGGAGTGTAATGGGAGGTGATGCCAAACGACATGCTGTATGTGGACTTTTTTTAATCGATTCTGGGGACAGCTTAGATAAGGAATGTGTTTTGTGATCATCTGCTGAGTGTTTGTAATTGAATATGGATTTTTAGGCCCAGAATCTCGCTCCTGTTTTCGTGATCCAATATGTATAGAGTATATACAGGGGCGTAACTAGAAATCACAGGGCCCCATAGCCAAATTTTGTATGGGGCTCCGTGATTGCTAGTTATGTCACTTACAGAGCCCACCATAGACTTTCTATAGTGGGCTCTGCAAGGTCTCAGTTGGGCTGCACGCCTCTTACCTGTCAGCGTTATCCACCTCTGTGGTCGCCGGGCCCCCCACCTCCTCTTCCGTCCCCGGGCTCCGCCTCTTATCTACGGGCCCCGCCTCCTCTTACATCACTGGCCCCACCTGCTCTTAGATCACTGGCCAGTGATGTGAGAGGAGGCGGGGTTGCTGTTAGGCGGGCCCCGCCTCCTTCTTTACTGCAAACGCCGGTGTAAGCGGCCTCTTCTGCCGCATCTGCAGGCTGTCACTGACACAGCTCCGCAGTGACTGTGAGGGGGAACATTCTCCCTCACAGCTGCTGCTGAGCTATGTCAGCGACTGCCAGCACCCCGAGACGCCATAGCGACCCAGGCGGCCCACACGGGATCAGAGGGATGCCCTGGCCATGCCCCCTTGTGCCCGGGCCCCATAGTGGCCGCCTGGGTCGCAATGGTGATTGTTACGCCACTGAGTATATAGGATCACACTAAAGTGTATGTGCAACCTTTAACCTCCCTGGCGGTATTCCCGAGTCTGGCTCGGGGGGAATTTTCCATACCAGGAGAGGTAAACAACTTTTTTTTAGTATATTATAATTTTTTATAATTATTTATTATAACACCAAATTTCCATGCAAAAAATTGTACCGCTTTTGGTACAAAATTCCTGACATAATCATACCGCCAGGGAGGTTAATTAATGCATACTTACCAATGCTAGTATAAATGGAAAAAAGTACAAGGATATTGGGAAGGAAAGTACCCTTAACTAGTATACATGGGAATCTGTTACTAACAGAAAAGAACATAATTTCAGGGAGGCTTTGTGCACCCCTGGCTGCCTTGTTGTAGCTGTTGTAGGTCCCTTATTTCTTCCCCTGGTACCAAAAAAAGAGGAAAGGCAGAAAAAGTTTGACACACACATATACTCTTCTCCATACTATTATACACTAACTCAAAGTAACTTTTTGCAGAGATAATGACAGCATACCCTGCGATGTGCCTGTAAAAAATAAAGGCCAATACACTGTGGAGTGTCACGATACCCAATCTTGCACATATGAAGAAGAGGATCAGAGCATCACGGCTGCCCTGCATGCAATACAAAGAAATAAATATGAGAATTATAAATTGGCTTTCATGCTAAGAGAAATCAGTGAGTATTTTCAATTAACCTTGTTATCTCTTGTTATATCTTGTTATCTCTGACCAAAGGTTATAAAGCAGGTGGTCAATATTTTACTGTCTATGTTTCTGTAAGGACTTTAAAGAGCATTAATATAGGTCCCTGAGTCAGAGGAGCCTGAACTGCTGGACCCATAGCAAGAGCAACACTCCCTTACTGTACTGGGATGTGGTTGTGCTCCTTGTGGGCATGGCATGAATATAGAGCTTGTGGATGGAGATATGGGTTATGTGTTCAGGTCATGAGAGGTCTTTTTACTAACTTTTGGCTTACTGTTGTCACTGACTGAATGTTCACCCACCTACCTTTCCTTTATTTCCTGTATTGTATTTCTTGTTACAGCTTTGTTCTTATTTGTTGTTATTATGTTTAGTGGTTTTAAAGTGAACCTGTGCTTCGCCCATGCAGGGCAAAGCACCAGGTCCACTTTCATTACCCCATCCCCAGTAGCTCTTACTTACCTTCCCATCTCTCCCCTGCTGCTCTGTTCAGGAAGGAAAGCACTGTCACTGAATTCTAGCATATGCAGTCCTTTTGACTCCTCATTTGACAGAGCTAGTTGTTCTAGTACTCTTGCATAGCGTTAGTCACATGCTCCTCCATAATGGGTCATTTCTGGCTCCTGGAACTTAAATGGAGCTGCGAGAGAGCAAAGGAAAGGTATGTTTGTGCTAGGGATTAAAACCTGAATGGGCCAAGAATAAGTCTATTTTAACCATGCCAGTGCTTTAATTTTTTTAAAGTCATACACCATATTTGGTATCAATTTTAAAAATCTAAACATATAATTCTGTAAGAAATGAATTTAAAAAAATGAGTAAATCACATAATCATATGCATAAACAATATGTATACTGTGAGGTTTGGGGGAGTTAGCACAAATGGTGAGCGCTTAAGGACCAATCTCTGAGCCATTTTAACAGAAAAAGGAAGTTTTTTCCTCCATAACAGAAAAGAGCTTTACTTCGGCGTTACAACATACAGTGGGCTTGGAAAACAGACCGTCCCACCATTCTCAGGTTGTCCTGTTTGGTGGCTCTCTCAGCCTCTCCAAACCTTCCAGCCTCCCAGGCTGTTCATGTGCCTCCAGCACACCAAACTTGGCTTGGCCTGTGTGGGCCTCCAGCAGGCACAGCCACCTGGCTCTTCTTAGCTGGGGCCCAGAACACTAGCCAGCACACTTCCCATAAGTGCAGTGCACAGGTGTGCAATTAGGTGCTTGCCACTACTAAACAATGGACCCAGGAATGGAGATTTCATCCCTCCCAATTCTCTTTAGAAATCTTCAAGTTCCAGGATCCCATGCCAAATCCAGAAATCCTGGGAAGAGCCACAAAGTCAGCTCTTTCCCAATACAAGAACTTGCCTCCTGGAACCGCTCAGCCCCCCACAATACACACATATATATATATATATATATAAAGAGAGAGAGAGAGAGAGATTACTAGGATCAAAGAAATATTTAGTATCTATTATTTATCTAATATTAGTAGAGGAATGTAATTTCATTAATTACAATGTCGTAGCCAAAAGTGGAAAAAATAAATAGTTTGTTACTGCTGTCTGGGTCTCAGCTGAACTTCTTGTCCCAGCAACTGTGGTCCTTACTCTTCCTGTGGAGACAGGACAAAGGAAAACAAACTCAAGGAGGTTCCATTTCCTCTCCACATCCAAAAATGTTTTAGTTGCAATTAGGGATGCACCGATACTGGTATAGGTATCGGTGCCGATTCCGAGTATTTGGGTGAGTACTAAATGCTCCGATACTTACCCCCGATAACGGAACTTGCGGTCAGAGGGAGATTTCTTCTGACCGGAAGTGCCACGAGGGAACATGGAGCCAGCTTCCCAGCCAATGAGGAAGCCGGGTGGTGGGTAACGACGGGCCGCCCGACTCCCTGATTGGCCGGGAAGCTGGCTCCATGCTGTGTGGCTGGCTCGATGCTGATTGGCCTGGAAGCTGGCTTCCCAGGCAATCATCATGGAGCCGGCTAAACAGCATGGAGCTGGTTTCCCAGCCAATCAGGAAGACACGCCGCCCGGATTCCTGATTGCCCGGGAAGCCAGCTCTATGCTAGCAGAAGTACCAGTATCGGTAGTCAGTATCGCTGAGTACCGAAAGAGAATATCGGTATTCGTACTCGATAACGAAAGCCCGGTATCTGTGCATCCCTAGTTGCAATTACAGTGCCTACATTGCAGGGTCATCTATACCCTGACACAAGGTACATTCATGATTTGTTTATACTTGAATCTTTCTTTAACCCTTCAATCATGTCATTCCTTTAACAGTAAAGCCTGATCCCCCTCAAGAACTGGATGTTCACAACAAAAAACATCACAAACATGCTTCCATCCACTGGAAGTACCCAAAAACCTGGTGTAACTTCCATTCATTTTTTCCACTCATCTTCAATGTGCAGATAACAGAGGGCCAAAACACCACAAAGGTAAGCCAACAATATCTCTAAGAAAATAAAAGCCTCTGTAATATTTATTACATTCAAATGGTATTTTCTCTGCACAACGTGTAACAGTGGTTTAGAAACAGCACAACAGGGCCGTGGTTTGGTGGTGTGGTCTGTTTATGCATGGGCTTTACCATGCTTATAGACTGCCACGGTACAAGTCCATTCTTGGGAATAGATCAAGGTCATCCTTTGCAGTGCTTTGGTTGCAATAAAACAATACTGGCTTTGCTGTTTTTGATGTTATTCAATCCCATTGATATTACCGACCTCAACTATTGTTTTTTAAACCAGCTAGTAAAATAGAAGCAGATGGCAGACTTGTATACCAGTTTATGTGGAAATGTACATTGCTCAAAACTTCCTGGAAACTTGTTACAGTGAGGTCAGGACAGTTTATGAACTATTGTCTTGTGATGTGTTATTGTAGTATCACAACTTCAAAAACAAACCGAACATTCTTTTTTCCTTTAGTAAGTCATGGAAACATGTTTGAATTCTTCTAGTGGTTTTTTTAGGTATATCATTTTTTTTTACCTCATACTGACTGAGGACTAACTCATGTAGATTGCCTTAACCAACAGACTCTTGGTATTTGTTTTTTTCAGAAGGAATGTTCATCTTAAAACCCCTCTCACACTAAACCTCCCTGAAGCCCTAACACTAACCTGCCCTGTAATTATAACACTGACCTTTCCATGTAACCCTACCACTAACCTTATCTGTAACCCTAACATTAACATTCCCTGTAAACTAATGCTAACCTTCCCTATAGCCCTAACACTAACCTTCCCTGGAACCCTAGCATCAAATGTTCCTCTTACCCTATCACTAATCCTCCCTGTTACCCTAACACTTATCCTCCCTGTTACCCTAGCATCAAATGTTTATGTTACCCTAAAACTAAACTTCCCTGTAACCCTAACACAAACCTTCACTGTATACTAAACACTAATCTTCCTTGTAACACTAAAATAGAACTTTGGCCATAGTTCTCTTTAGGGTCACAGGTGGATATTTACTAATGTCCTCCTGTGATCCAAAACTGATCATATAGCGGGCTATTGCTATTGCTGACAGCGCAGAGCCGCCCTGCTGCCTCGAAAGATCCCGGCAATATTGTTGAATCTCCCCCTGCCACTTGATTGACAGCTGGTTCTACCTCTCTAGAGGCTGAGCCAGCTGTGCCCACCCCCTCCCCTGTCTGTCCCTCCAACCAGGGATGAAGAAATGGAGAGGGGAGGGGAGAATCCCTGCGGGGAGCTGTGACTGGCAGTCACTGCCCTCTGCAGGGAGAAGATTGGAAATTCAGCATGTGATCGGCCAGTTCTCGATCAATAGAGCCGACACATGACAGCTGCTGTATCACACACCAGCACTAATTATGGGGATGAGTGTATTTCCCTCTCACCATAATTCTCCTTTAACACTAGCCTGCACTGTATACTTAACACTAACCTTTACTGTAACAGTAACTCCAATCCTTCCTGTAGTCCTAACACTAACCCTCCATGTAACCCTAACACTAACCTCCTTGTTACCCTCTACATCAACCTTACCTGCTACTCTAACACTAACCTTCCCTGTAACCTTAACACTAACCTTCACTGTAACCTCTGTTTTTGTTACCCTAAGACTCCCTGTAACCCTAGAACTAACTCTCCCTGTAATCCTAACATAACCTAACATTAACACCCCCTTAACCCCAACACAATTTTTTCTTTCCCATAGTTAATGGGGTCAAATTGACAATCATTTTTTACTGCAATGATGGAAAAAAAACAAAATGAAGCAGGATGGAAATTGTTTCTTAAATGAAAGGAAAAATGAAACAAACAAAATTCTAACAGTAAATGTGATTTTCATTCAGGAAACTCCATTCATTCCAAACTTGAGTGTTAAAATGAACAAAATATTGAACATTTCTCAAGTATATGATGGCATTATCAAATCATTTTTCACATGAACATTTCTATGAAAATGTACTAGTGTACGGCCAGCCTTAAAATCCCGTTAGCGTGTTATTGTTGTCTGTGTCCCAGATGTTGGTCAGTGAATTATGGATCTACTGGCAGGATCAATAGGCAATAGAATTATTTTATAGGAGAAACTCAAAACAACAAACAGCACTGTGTAAGGGCTAGTTCACACCATCTTCAGTTCACACCCTCTTCAGTGCATTCCGGCCTGATTCTGGCCGGAACGCACTGGATCACATTGCAGCCGTCTCACTTTGTTGTGGGATGGGAGGGGGCGTGCCCTCCGATCGCAATGTGATCGGCCACATGGGAACACAAGGCACATCAATGCCTGCGGTCTGGTCTTGTCAGAAAAATTCCTGCAAGCACTATTTTTTCTGACCGGACCAGAGTACAAGCATTAATGTGCAACCCCTTCCCATGCGGCCGATCACATTGCAGCTGAAGGGCGTGGCTGCGGTGCCATTCGCTTTAATGCATTGCTACACCCCCTCCAGCCCCGCAACAAAGTGAGCCGGCCGCAATGTGATCCAATGCGTTCCGGCCACAATCGGGCCGGAACGCACTGACTGTGTCTGGTGTGAAAAGGCCCTAAATGCTGATGGCAGACTGCATCTTAGATTTCATTTTTTTATTTTGCCCATAATTCTACTTTAAACATTTTGGAGGACATACGCTTTAAATTCTAGTTATGTCCTTTGACACTTTTTGTATACTTGGTTTTAATATATGAACAATAGCAGCAGTTCAGCTAAGGCAAGGACAGCAACTATTTCAGGCACTGTAAGTTTTCTGTATTACTGTGTTCTTATTAAGAAGTAAAGTTACTTCTCCCCCCTCACCAATCAGCATTACATCTGCCCAGAAAGTCTGAATCCGATTCACAGTTGTGGAGAAGTAACTAGAATTCTTAGTTGGAAGTCTTATAAGACTCTAAAGGATTATTAATGTCTCACCAAAGACCAAGTATGTGTTATAATGTAAATGTCATTTCTTATAACATTTTAGCATCAAACTGAAGATATCACTCTCCATGTGGTGGATAAACATGTAGACTCTTTCTGTGTCCAAGCTAGAGACAAGTTCTTCAACTCATCCTGGAGCGAATGGTCATGTCACAAGTAGGTAAGATATCTCATCTACTACTCTGTCTATATAAAACTGTTCTTTTTCAGTGAATTTGTGATTCAAACAGATAAAATTGGAAGAGTAGCTACAGGAGCCCTTGCCTCCTGAGCTATGATCCTAAAGTAGTATTGAACTTAAACTTTTTTCAATAATAAATCCAGGTGAAACTTCCCAACAATGTATTTCTTTACATTTTTGCCCAAACACTTATCATGTTTTCAAGCAGCTGACTCCAACTCAATTCAGCTTCCCTGAACTTCCTGTCCAGTACAAGTTCACAAAGAAGAGCCCCCAGTCCCCAGCAGTTGTCCATGTACTAGCATGGAGAAGGGAGGAGGGAGGAAGGAGGGAACCTTTACTTTACACTATAATGTTGCTCTGCCCGTCATTCTCCAGTTTCTCTATATCATAGAGTGCAATATCTAATACTTTCAAGTATTAGGGAGCATGTGACTCACTCCCTTTCCTCCAATGTGACAGTGTTGATGCTTGTCAATTGGCGGCATCCAATACTGGTACACAGGGACAGGGTCCTCAACACTGTCTATATACAAAGTAACCAGCACTCTTGTCCAGATCCACTAATGTATACTCTATTTACTTTTAGATTTATAAACTTTTAGATTGTAATCTCTCAAAGCCACAGCCCTCCTCACCATCTTGTTTTGAATTGTATTGTAACTGTAATATCCTCCTTATATTGTAAATGCTGCAGACTGTTGGCACTATATAAATTCTGTGTAGTAGTAATAATAATAATAATAATAATAATAATTTAAAAAAATATTAATAACAAATAAAAATAATAAAAAACAGGCTAAAACTATAACTCATGCTGACGCGTTTAGGACAATCCTGGCCCCAATCATAGCATGTGCTGGCTACTTTGTATATGAATTGTCTATTGTACACTGGAAGAATTGCTGCCTTGCACCACCTGCAGTAAACTCCTAATTACTATCCCACTCTTCAATCCACATCACATGTTAAAGCATATACAGGGCTTCCTTTCCCAGGTTCACACTAGCGTGGATTTCTTTGGGTTTTTTTGGCACGTTTCTTATGTGCGTTTGTACATCAATTTTTCATTTATTTTTTCACTTGTTTTTGGGCTTAGGCATTTTTGCTTAGGCCAATTGGAAGCAGGATAATTGGAGGATGAAATGGTTGACAGGCACAAAAATGTGCTCCATTTAAAGTCAATGGGACACATTTTACTTCCCTAGAGAAGCTCCTGTACTTCTTTGGTGTGAGAAGTGACAGCACATGACAGCACATGTCTTAGATGTAGATAGGCCTCCTAGAATCCTACGGAAATCTTGTGCTGAGGAAAATGCAATTCAAATTGCTCAAGTGTCAATGGTGGCTAAGGAGGAGTCATGGTAAGTATAAACCAGTGCAGGCATCGGCATTAAAATCAATTTGTGACTTTCTTACTCTAATTTGTTTTTGGAGAATAAAAAAGGTTCCTGCACCTTCATAAATTTCCCTGTTCTAAAGAAATTGCTCTCTGATCCAACTTGACCTGCCTTAAATTGATTCCTGAATGTTAGGTTCTGCCATCAATATGACCACCATCATTTCAGTGCTGTAATGAAAGAAACTGCATTGTTGGCCTCTCTTTAGAGGAGGATGACACACAGAGATATCTGACTAAAAATAAAAGTGCTGTTTCAGGGGATGTCTGAAAGTTCACCTGAACCTCAGTAGAGACTTTTGCAAAATGCAGTGAATCACATAAGCAAGGAAATGAAATGAATGGGGACATTCTGTACACTAGGTTGCCATACTGCAAGGAACAACATTTTCAA